CACTCACTCACTCACTCACTCACTCACTCACTCACTCACTCACTCACTCGCACACTCGCACACTCGCACACTCGCACATGACACTCACAGTCACAGTCACAGTCACACTCACTACCCCTGCGATCTCCACCTTCATCACCATTATCACCTCTCTAAACCACAATGCGTCTAGATCTCTAGACTTTCTGCTTATAGACCTCACACTTAGTCATAGGGTTTTCAGTTAACTCTGTTCCACGAAGAAAGGGCTGAGGGAAACGAAAGGTGAAGCGGTCAGCACAACTGTATGGTTGAACAATCTGTTCACTTGTCTGCAGAACGCGGCGGAGACGAGCTGCAAGTTCGGCAAGAAAGTGGGTTTGGGGGAATATCATGAGCAATCACCATGGAAACCAAAAAGACAGCGGCGGTATCAGTGGTGTCAGTGCGTTGGCTGCAGGTACATGAGAGTGATCAGCTCTCACTTCCTGTGCGTCAGGTAGATTCGTTGGACATGGTCCCTGAACACACGCCATGTTTTCTTGGAGGAGTCTGCACAGGAATAGTGTAGAATAGAGTGGAAGAGATTGGTGCCCCTTGAGACAACATTTGACACACACACACACTGTTTGGGGTCTCTTGCCGGGATAATTTTGGTCCCAGTTTGGGCCATTGTGTTCGACCAGGTGAGAGGGTCCTTAGAGCGGTGATGTAAACGCAAAGGCCAACCTATACATTGGACCAACATCAGATTGACATTCTTCCGGACAATGAACAGAATGCCATGTTCCAGGTTCTATCTACTTCCTCGAAACATGAAAGCCTTTCTTCCTCCTGCGCGATCGCTTCCTGGACACAGTAATTTTGAAGGCCCTCAAGGGGCGAAGATGGCGCCGCCCAAGGCAGGCGCGCGTTCAGAAAACGAAAGACGAGGAAAAGGGGAGCCGGCAATGGTGGCCTGGCAGGTTGGGGATACCCTGCTTTGGAGCCATCAGCATGTGCGTTTGCTTTGGTGATATGGACGATTATATATAGTATGTGTGTGCGCTTTGCTATAGGGAGAACTCCTGCTACAATTGATGGACAGACATTTGGAAAGGTGAAGAAAGCAATATCATAGTCCATATTGACCAACCCATGGACGAACAAAAATAGTTGCCGGAAAGGGGATAGTTCATCCAAGTTTTCCCGAAGGTTTTCACCACCGCCCAGAAGGTTTTACACCCACACCCAAATCATTGGAGTAAACATTTGAGTCTGAGTACCGATAAGAGGATTCACTGATTCACCTGAGATTCCCTGATTCACCGTTCTTCACCTGAACCCGCTCTTCCTGCCATGTGTTTTCTCTCCGGCCCTCAGGATTTGAACCCATTCCTCTTTTCCTCCTCCGCTTGGCATCGCCTGGAGCGAGATCAACTGGCGCGGACCGTTCGTGGTGTCGTTGTTTCGTTTTGGAACGACACCGGAGCAGTCGACCTACAGAGGTGCTAACCAATATGGACCCGGGTCGAATGGTACCCCGGTACAAGAGTGCGCATTCCTCTACAAACCAGTGGTTTTCAGGGTCCATGTTAGTTTTCAGCGGGGTACTATTGGACATCATGTTCATGCAGGTTTTTATTCATGTACTGCATCTAACAGAACGAGAATGAAGAAGATATCTTCGCAGGAAGTGAATCGAGGTGGAGCTTGAATCGAGGTCAACGTATACGTACCGTGAATGGGTAGGCAAGACAATTGGATGATCGGCAACTCTTTTTTTTTTGACACCGTGAATTGCCTATCACCAATGTCTCAGGTGCTGCAAGATGTTGCAGGAGTGTTCTTCATGAACCGTGCTTTCTGGGTGGACCACATCAGAAAGCCAGAGCGAGAAGATACATTGAATACAGTATTGAATTGAATACCTGATGAGCCCCACCATCAGGTGGCACCACGACCGAACCGATCATGGATCTGCTCCGATCATGGTTCAGCATGCCACTGCTGATTTGTTGGGATGTATTAACATCAGAACACGCCAACGCCGTCTTGGCTGGTCGATTTCTGCTTTACCCTGTGTTCGATTTCCGGTTGCCTGTCGATCGATATGGGTGGTCTCTCCCAGCCCGTCGTGGATCTCGGTGTTCGAGAGATGAGACATTGAGACGACGAACGAAGTCTTTTCACGGACGAACCTGATGAGCAGCTTCGACCCCGAAAAACTGACCATGAAAAACATTTGTTTTGTCCCAGCAATCCGTAACAGCTGGTTTCACCTGTAACTAAAAAGATGCATGGATCAGCATTTTTATACACTGAAACAAAACATGGAAGTGGACAATCCCCTGTTGGTGGAAAAACCCTGTTCCAGGAGGCCATGGTTTATCCACCATGATCGTTGGAGGGTACAGTACAGGTGATCGATGCTGAGCGAATCCATCGAAACCGGTCCTGTTGGACTCGAAACCTGCTGAGCTGAGCGGTTCCAACCCGCTCGCTCCAGGCTTGGACGGACTTCCCGGAGGCCGTCGGGGCGCAAGTTGGGCGGATGGGCGGATGTTGGGAGTCGGATCTGCGGTGGGACGGCGCGTAGAGGCAACAGCACAGTCTTGTGATGTTTTGCGAGTGCTGTTTGGGGGGGGATCAGTGTTTTTTGGCATATATGATGCATACATATATATATATATATGGAGTTTTTGAGATGTTGTTGAGGTGCTTTGCAGCTTTTTTTCTACGGACCACAGGAGTTCTTCCCCACAATAGATCGCTCATGACAAGTAAACAAACTTATTTAGAAAGAGATGAGACGACAGGTGTCCCAGGAAGGATGTACTTTTGCATCTCACCGAACATCCCAGCAATGAAGAGAAGTACAGAGAGTAATCTCCGAACATTGCGATCTTCGACCATTGAACATATCGTTTTTGCATGTTTTGCCATGGCAATGAGGGTGTCATTTCGGCAGCTGAATGGCGAAGCGATTGTTCTTGACATCATGCCAGACATCACTGGTCAGGAACTCAAGGAGCGGATCAAGGATTGCCAGCTTTGGGACGAAGAGCTCACACGTGAAACGACCCTGGTGGACATCGTTGTGGGGGCAAGTAGATTGCTGACGAACAACGAGACGGCTGCAGATGCAGGACTTTCTCCAGAATCACAAGTGACTGCAATTTTTAGACAAAACACCGTGACATGCTCCGACAAAGATGAATTTGCCCAGTGTGGCCAGGAGATTGACTTGGAGTGTCTATTTGTAGTTCGAATCCCAAGCAGTGCAACTGAAATCAATCCAGGAGCATTCGAAAATTGCAGAACTTTGGCAAGTGTGATCATTCCTGACTCCGTCACCCGGATTTGGAATGGAGCCTTTGCAGGATGCAGCTCGTTGGCAAGTGTGACCATGTCGGACTCAGTGACCCAGATTGAGGACGAAGCCTTTGCAGGTTGCAGATCGTTGTCAAGTGTGACCATCCCTGACTCAGTGACCGAGATTGGTCCATCAGCCTTTGCAGATTGCAGCTCGTTGGCAAGTGTGACCAT